GAACACCCAGCAGTATCACAAAAAGCAAAAAGAGAGGCAAGGGGCACACATCTAGATGTCCAAAGTTGACAGCAAAAACTCATTTAAAAAGAGACTGCCCCTCTTTTAAAAACGGTCCTGGGTAGAAAACAAACAAAACACAAAACAAAAACTAAAAAACACACACATATGGGTGGGAGTCAGTCAGAATCATCAGTAAGGCAGAGTTTGCACCTCACATAGACTTAACATAGCAGCACAGACCATAATGAATACAGTTAGGTTCTATCCAACAACATCAGAAAGAGTTTCCACACCTTAATGAGAAAAGATATTCTGCTCAAAGCATTCGGTAGCAGTATCCTGGCTACAGATCGGCATTGATTAAAGATGGAACAGAACTGATCCTGATTGAGTCTGTCCTCTGCCCTTTGTCTCTGATGACGTCCGTCCTTGTTATGTCTGCAGCCATTATCAGTCTGGACGAGTTCATAGAGGAGCGCTGGATGACGATTGGATCAGGGAGATGCTGGAATGTGACCCCAGCACCGTGAAGGTTGAGAGGCCTCTGAGGATGGACACAGCTTTGGGGACCCATGGTTGACCCGAAAGTTTGTGTTCAAATGGGAGCTGCAAGGAAGGAACCGGTCGAAGTTTGGACTGATATTTTCAGGAATTGCTGCAGCAACAGATCTTCCAAATAAGTGTACGGCCTAATGGGTTACCCCAAAGTACAGGCTATTCACTGGAGAGCACTTCTTATTTAAGGCACTTTTTAAATTGAATTTGCACTTCTATAATAAGGAACTCATTTATGTGTTTTACCCTGTTTTGTTATTTTGTTGGTGTCGCTGCATTGGTTGAAGTAGTTTATATTTTTGTCTATCTGCATATCTTTGAGTAATAAATCATGAAACAGTTGTGTTCTACTTGTGTCAAATTATTATCTATACATGCTGAACATGTAGTCATATTTAACTCTCACCGGGCCACAGACACAACATATGGAAACATCTAACCAAAAGCTACCTACCTGCCTACCTATCTATCTATCTATCTATCTCTGCAAGGGGTAGCCAATTTACTTCATTACATACCATAAAATAAAATAAAAATTCACATTGAACCAAGCATAAACAAAGTTATCACAGGACATGGTGATGGTGAGAATTATAGTGGGCTGATGTATCGGTAGTGTCAGGTAAGATTGGCTACAGATATATAGATAGTTTCAGATGATAACTAAATCATTTTGTTTTAGCCGCTTTCTAAGAATAAATGATCCTTCTTTCACTAATGACACACACTGACCACCTGATGTCACCTGTACGTCTGTAAATGTGAATCACGGAATGCTGCGTTCAATCATCATTAAAGATATGCAACATCTTGACCCCAAATACTTATACAGTCTTCAACTGTTGCCCCAGAAACAACGGCTGATTTGCTTTAGCTTTTACATGTAAACTTAACGCATTAAAGTTAATCGTTATCAAATAATCTGTTCAATTGAAAACGTGTTCATTAGTGTTAACCCCGAATGTGTCTCTGAATTCCTACCGTCCACACGTTACCTGAACACATCAGGACTCCTGCTTCCCAGGAGGAGCAGGGCGGGATTTTCCAGCCGTGACGTCCTAACTTTTCCAACAATCTCGTCACTTTAACATCATGGCGTAGCGATGTGGACGGACAGCCGGGGGTAGCACTGGTGGGCACGGAGACGTTTAGGAACATAACCGTTGGAATTTTTTATTAAAATACAGGAAACTTACCAACTCTCGTCGAGAGGAGATTCGGTAACGGTAAGGAAGTCGGTTGTTTTTGGCCCGTGATTTATTTTCTCCGTTGGCTTGGTTGTGTTCAGGGGTTAACAAATTGTAGTCGAAACAAGTTTCCACTGTGTCTGATGAATGTTCACGGTCTGTTAAAGTCCTCACATTATTTTTTTATATTCCCTTCTTAGTGAATTTGTATTAACGGTTTGGGTACCGTTTCGTGTACCATCAGTCTTTAAAGCTAAAGCGACAACATTAGCCTATGTTCACAGTAGTGTGGGGGGGAAGACGTGAGAAAGTCGGTCTAACTTTAGTTTATGACTTTGCCACATCTCCAGACTCTGTGGTAACCACGGTAACACTTTACGGCAAGAAACACACCGTGCCTGAGGCCACCTTTTTTTTGTCTTCGGTCGTTCCCCTTTGAGTTTGTCTGGAAGTGAGACTATAGTTGTTCTATATTAATGGTGATAAAGTTGAGATTTACTGTGATTTAAAGAAAACAGAACAGAATAGAATAGAATAGAATAGAATAGAATAGAACAGAATAGAATAGAATAGAATAGAATAGAATAGAATAGAATAGAATAGAATAGAATAGAATAGAACAGAATAGAATAGAATAGAATAGAATAGAATAGAATTACTTTATTGATCCCAAACTGGGAAATTGTGTCCTTACAGCAGCAGGTTGTCCAAACACACAATATGAGCAAAAAACACAATGTTAGTAAATCTAAATCTATACAACCAGGATTTAACTAAACATTACTCGTCTTGAATATGAAAGATTAAATGTAAATGTGCAGAAACAGAGTTGTAAATGACAGTATATGTTATCCTAGGTGAACTTTAACGAGATTGTCCAGAGTTTTTTAGTCTGGGAATTTTTTGACATTTGATCAGATGGTGTATTGGCCCTCAGCCGACCTCTTTAAACTGTTTGCTCTTCCTTCTCAGATGCTCTCAAGGTAATAATGGCTGTAATTCAGCCACATCACACCACAGTTTAGGAAGTTGTGTTACTCCTACCTCTGCTTTGCCAGACTTCATGAGGCACTTTAGTTGTGATAAATTAAAGAGTAATAATAAATGACATGTCTGGGATAAAGCTCCTTCAAAGGGAAATTGGTCAGAAGTCCTTCGTTTCCCTTTTTGTCTGCTCTGAACTGCAGACAAAAAGAAACTACTCAGGAGTCCTGGAAAAAATGTTGAAGTTGGCTGGAGAAACTGCAGCCAATCGACTTCTTTGTTGTGCTTATATGGAGCTTTCCTGAAAAGGCAATTGTGTGTAAACCTTCAGCTGTTTTGATTTACATGACCTATCCCTCAGTACCACGTGTGTGTTTTGCAAAATGTGGAACAAGTAAACTCCTATAGAGGTGAAGTTGAGGTACGAGCAGCTGTGAGTAATATAAAAAGAATGTGTGCAGCCGTCCAACATAAATACAAATGCTGCCATGATCTTTACCTGAAAACATCTCAGAGCTATCAGGTATCAAATGGAAGATCTTAAATTCCAAATCCAGTTTCCGTCTTTTGTTTAGTACGTTGATACTTGATACCTTTAATATTTACAGTCTGTGGTTGATTTACTACATCACCCGCTGATGTCTTGTGGGTTTAGTCAAAGATAAAGAAAAAGGCTCACACACATTTCATCTTCATACGGCTTGTTGTTTGGCGGTGTAAAATGAGTGGTGATGTATCCTGCTTGCAGAAATAGCTGCAGGTTATTCCTGAGCAGCGCCCTGCAGGCTGCGGGTGAATGCCTCGTCTGTGTCTACACCCAGTGAATCAGCAAACACACCACTCTTAATGCAACGCTCAACTTCTTGCACCCACAAGCTTTAAGACAATGATGGTTAGTTCTGCAAAGAAATAAAATCACAGTCAGACAGTTTGCTCATAACATAATAAAGAATCAGTTACAGCAGTAGTAGGCATTAATAAGAACTGAAATAGACTTATACGATGCCTATAGAAAAAGGTAAACTAGTTACCATGAATATAGCATCAGGGTTTGAAGTAAAACACGGCAAGATGTGCCAGATCAGATATTCTGTCAGATGGTCTGTCAAGTCTGTGTGTCTCTTTATCTCTTGTCCTGTCTATTGTCTGTATGCTTGTTGTCCTCATGTTTGTTTGTTTTTGTACTCTTATTATTTTATTGGTTTCTTTTGTTTTACAGTTCGAGTGTGGGGGTTTTGGTACGTTCTTACCCTACACCAGTAATCTTCACACTCATTTCTGTATCTACCTACTATGGATGTTTTGGAAATGTGCTTGTTGTGCTAATCTAATTGCAATGTGCACATTCATCCAAGAAAACTCAATAAAACTCATTTTGAAAGATGTGCCTGCCAGACTGAAGCTTTTCTCATGGAAACACTGTGGAAGGTAGAGCTGAGTCGAGGCCTGCGTGACTCAAAACATGGAAAGTGTCGTTATCCAGTGAGACTTTGATGCATACATTTAGGTCCACAGATTTGGTCAACGTGCAAGTGAAGTAAACTGCTGTTGCTGTATGAGTTATTATGCCCGCATTGTAAATTCCTCTCTCCCCAGGCTTCTTCTTTTTTTCTACCACAAGTGCATCTTGTCTCAACACAAGCTGTAAAAGCCAGCTGCATGGTTTCTGTAAAACCCTTTCTCCCCTTAGGGACAAGTGGCCCAATGGCTTCTTATATATTTTTCCACTTCCTGTGTGTAACAGGAGTGGAACAGAGGGAGTTACTGCATTTTTTCTATCCTAGAGAGACTTTGAGTTTTCTCTCTCTGTCCAGTGAGCTTGCGATGGTTCCCCCTGCCTGAAGGGTTTGAAAAAGCCATTATATGATCCACTCTCCCTCTTGTTGTCATTATTCTCTGCCTGTTTCCATGAATTACACGGCTGTTATAACCGCAGGGCAAGACTGCTTCTATTTGTATTTATTCATTTTTTAAGCTCTTTGCGTGGGCAGGTGTTGTTGCCATGTGTACTGTAGCATTGCATTGCAGTTTCTTTCCCCCTGTCTTTGTCTTCTCATGCCTCTCAGTAAAGATACCCCCCCTAACCTGAACAATAGCCCCTCTGTGTGTCTCATGGTTGGTATAAGTAGTGGTATGGAGGAGCAGACAGGGAGACTTTGTTTTTTTTTTGAGAGTGATGCTTGCTTGTTGTTGGAGATTGTTTTCGATATCTCCTGATAGTAAGCTTACTGAGATTTATTGTACAAATCAGAGCAAATACAAGTTTGGAAATGTCCTGCATGGGAGTAAAATTCAACAAAAATTAATAGATTTAAAAAGGTTAATCAAGTATTGTGACTGAAATCAGACAATAGGGCACCAGCACAAGCTTCACTTATGTGAGAAATGCTGCTCTTTGTCCAATGAATAGAATTTTGCATTTCTGGACTTTGGAAGTCAAAGTAAGGATTTTTTTATCACTACTTTCAGAAACATTCAAAATATATTTATCCAGTTGATTGATTAGCATTTGTTTTATCCTAAAAACACTCTGACGACATAGTAAGTCAGTCATCCTTCCTGCTCTCCAGACTACCCACTCGTTGTGTTTACGTTTGACTAACACACCATGGGGGCATCCCAGGACTTGTGGACCAAGGGGAACTTCTCTGTAATTAGGCATTCTTTGTTCTCAGGTCTGAATCCAGGTAGAAGCCATGGTGGAAGTGCTCGGACAGCGTCTTTACACTTTGTTCAGCTCTGACTGACACGAGGACAGACGATTCCTGAGCAGCATGTCTGGTCTTGGCAGGGTGTGTTTGGAGAGTGTTTGTTGAAAGCCATGTGTTAACCTTACCCAGATTTGCCTTGCTGCTGTGAAAGAAGAGCTGACTCAGGTTTTGGAGGGGGATACCCTGCAGGCCTTCAGTCTACACACAGTGATAGTCATCAAAACTCAGTCTGTGTTGTGAAGTGTACAGAGTTTGTTATTGATAGCCATTTTTATTTCCGATCTCAAAGAATGTATTTAAAGTCTTTTATACCAGTATTTTAAAATAAGTAATGTAAGTCTGAAAAAGAGTAAAACTGTCACATAGATTTGAGTATATGGGGCAACTTATTTTATTTTTTTATTAGTCAATTTAGTGAACATGTTAAGATAAAACAAACACAAAATAAAAAGGAAAAAACATAACGAAAGAACAAACTGGATCCTCAGGATCCATAGCAACAAATAAAAAACTCAAATAATAAAGTTCATGTTCAAAAGAGATAGGAAGAAGTTCAAAACTTTTCTGCTCCTACACCTTCTTATTTTTGTGCATTATTCACAGAAAAATCAAAATGTTTTCATCAATCAGTGTGTGATGTTGGACTTGTTGGCCAAAACAAATTAAGTTTTTAGACAAAACAACAACAAAAATAATGGGAACAGATTAACCAAGACCATCAGCCAATAGAAAAACAGAAAAACAGAAAGTCACTACCAACTGAGATTAACCAGCACCCTAAACACGTGCATCTCTACACCAGCACCTTTACAATATTATAATACTATTTAATAATACGCTTGGTTTTTGTCACATGTTTATTGTTCAGCCCCATTAGAGGTTGTTTTCTGCTCTGACTTTTTGAAACTGTGATGGTGTTTGTCTGCTTTTAGACATGCAAGAAGTGGGACAGTATGCAGTGTGACTGTATGTAGCCCGAGAGGAGCGTTTCCATCAGAGTCAGTTCTTTTTTGTAGTGAACACCTCAGCAGTTTACTAATGGAGCTGATTCTTCCCATCTCCATTCAACTTTTCTGTTTATTGTGATGTTTCTCATGTTTCAGTGCACACTCTTGTTTTACACATAATGGAAAGCGTGACCACAGGAATCCTCAAATAACAGTGCGAGGAGGTCTGTGGGTGGTTTCCATAAAGTTTGAAAATGATGTCCCAGTGAAGGACACTCCCAGGATGTGAGACAGCCAATTTAAGGAAGGGGTGTGCGCGTGTGTCTAGATGAGTGCCTTTGCATGCGTTTTGTCAGCATGCATGGATATACAGCAGAGCCTTTTGATTAAATGTTTGAAGATAAAGAGACTGTTGTGCTGCTTTGGCCGATGTCCAGTACTGGCACACTGAAATGAATCTTCATTCCTCTCCAAACAGAGCCTCCTGTGTCCTATTGGCTGGATCTGTAATTGTGAAAATATTTCTAGGTAAATGGCCTTATTGATATTCTGAAATGAGTTATGAGATAGTCTCACTCTGCAGCATACAGCTCAAGAAAGAACAACTTAACAGAGAACACATCATTTGTTGTTTTAGCTGCCACAGACCACAGGTTATCATCATATCTAACCAGGCCTGCACTAGCCTTTGTTAGCCATACAGGGTTGTTGAGGTTGTTCTGCAGTTATAGTCTACTTCCTGGGTGGAAACCTTTTTCATCGCATGCTTAGCAAGCCCACATTACTGCTCTTATTTTAGCCTAGGAAGCTAAAAACCACTGTTTCTGCTGTCCTTGTCCTACTCTTCTTATCTTGTATTCAGAGCAGCTGCACTCTTTATTTGTTATTCCATAGACTAAACTACAATACCAAGAGCTGAGAGGTTATTAGTCTCAATGATCATGGATGTATTGATCATGATTTCTTTTTTACTTTTTTACTCTTTCATGAATACCTACTAACTTAATGATGATGGTCTCCATATTATTGATGATGATGATGGTAATGACGATGGTTTTTGTTTGATAAGGACGACTTATAAGATGGTTTCTATACTGATTAGAGCTCTCAAGAACTGCCCTCAATGTTGTGCTTTGCCTCTGGTCACTTCCTGTCAGCACCTGTGTGTCCAATCAGACTCAAAGCTGATCGTTTGCTCTTACTGACATTGTTCCCTTTTTTCTAGATCCTTGCTTGTGTTGTTCTTACTCTCTGATGTACGTCGCTTTGGAGAAAAGAGTCTGCTCAGTGAATTGTAGAAGAGCCAAAACATATTTGCATTCATAATGGCTTAAATACAATAAACGTTTGAGTAGCCTTCTTTATTTAAATGGTTTCTTTGCTCGTTCCAGGTTTTTTATCAGCGACTGAAGATGATGTCTGATGCCAGCGACATGTTGGCAGCTGCACTCGAGCAAATGGATGGCATCATAGCAGGTAAAGTGATCCACCTTTCATGACTTAAAATGCTTCGACTAGATGTAATTGTGATTCCTTTATTTCAGCTGTGTTGAAAAACCTAAAGAAGCAGTCTCTTCCAGGTTAAATGGTGTTATCCTCTGTGACATAGCTGCTGTTTAAGATCCCGCAGCCTGAAGTTCCATGCGTGTTAGAGACGGTCAAGCATTGCTTTTGATATCACTCATATTACTTTTCGATCCCATGATGTGTTTTCAGACGTTACAAGCGCTATTATTTTATGATCAAAAGTATTGAAAAGTCCCGAAGCTTTAAAACAAACGACAGATCTTCAGTTATAACTTAAACCAAATCTGCCGCAAGTGAAAGACAGAGAGCAGCAGCGTCACAGGTTGTGACCTTTCTGTTGTTAATAAACGTGCAAAAATGATGTTCATGTCTCTGACTAACAGAAGGAGCAGAGGAGGTGATGCGAGCGATATGCTGTCTAATTACAAACATGCATTGGCAGCATGTTTGTTCAGAACATTTGCCAATGTATTTTTTGCAATTAAGACCGTTTGCAAACATTTGCTTGAAAGACTTTGGTAATTGAAATGAGACATTTCTAAATATTAGTTGCCTTACCAGGACTTCTGCTTTTTCTTGCTGTGGTTTTGAAAGAGTTATGGATATTGTTTGATTCTAACCGGTATCGTATCAAAGTTTGAAGTTCTGGTATGGTGACTGACAGCCCTGTTCACCAGAGTTGCTTATTTTTATAGATACCAATTTGCTCTCGCATCTTTTAAAACTACACAGGACTGAAGATTGATCAAATATCAGTGCCATGATAAAAAATGACTGCCTTTTAGTAAATAAATTAATAGAAGTAAAGCAAAAGTTATAACCACCTCTCCCTTGTATGATCCAAGTTATTGCTATAATCTTTTTATCACTTCAGAACCTGAGACAAAAAAATTGTTCTTGTCTTTCCTTTCCATTACGAGAAATAGTTTGAAGAAGTCTTTCTTTGGATTCGAGCTCCTTTTTAATTTCTTTCTCTCTGTTCTGTCTGGATTCTTTGTCCCAGGCTCCAAGGCTCTAGACTACTCTAATGGACTATTTGACTGCCAATCACCTACCTCTCCCTTCATGGGCAGCCTGCGGGCGCTGCACCTTCTGGAGGACCTGAGGAGCGTCCTGGAGTTGATGGACACAGAGGAAAGGGAGAGTCTCCGCTGCCAGATCCCCGACTCCACAGCTGACAGTCTAGTGGAGTGGCTCCACGGTCACCTGGTAAGAGACCTCACATGATGGGAAAGACACGTGCATGCTTTATGAAGCTCTGAGATCTGTGAAATAAGACAATGAACAGATTAGTAAAATGCCAATGAAAACTTTGGAGCAATGATTTTACAATGTCAACCTTTGTACCAACTAGAAGTAAAACTTGTACAATAAAGTTTTTTTTTCTGGATTCATCTAAATCAGGGGCCTGCGGGCCAGATACGGCACTTCCCCACATTTGGCCCGGCCCTCAGAACAATTCCAAAGGCAAAAATTGTAATATATATCGGCCTATAAAAGTTTAGCATTTAAAATAAAATGTTCTTCAGCTCCGAACTTTTCTCATTATTAACTATTAGTAACTGTTTCACACACGCACAGAATATGACGTGTTGTCACACGGTGATCAAGCATCCGAGGCTGATCAGGTGCAAGCGAGCCAGCTAGAAAACTCAACAAGACAAATACAATAAAAAGGCAAAAAGGTTAGGGAAGAGAAAACTTTTTTTTTTTTCACTGCAAATAAAAGGCCGTTTGTCTGATCTGTCGAGAGGCCGTGTTAAAAAAAATACAATCTGCGCCCACATTATGAATCCTGCCACAAGTACGATAGCTCGCAAGGCCAAATGCGAGTAGACAAACAATCAAAGCTGGAAAGTGGACCCCCCTAGGAGGTTTGGATCCATGTCACCTTTTTCATCCCTGATGAGTTTGCACCCCTGAATAATACTCGTAGTAATGCCAGCACATGTTATTTTCTGTTACATACAGACCCTGGCCCCCCCATCAGGGAAAAGTCAAGTTATGAGGCCTTCAAAGAAATAAAGTTTGGGGACCCCTGATCTAAATAGTGTAGCATCAGGTTGGATCAGTTCACCGGCAATATCAAATAAGTGGTTTATCTCAACCTTCAAGACGAGAAGGAAAGGGCTCATGTTACCCTCCTTTTCTCTGCATTGCTGCTCTGCCATACTGGTTGTTGACACTGATTCTTTGGAAAGCTTTAATGCTACTTTGAGATTGTCTCTTCATTTCCCTCTTGAAATAGACATCAGGGCTCTTCCCACGTCTGATTTAATCATGTAACCTTGGAAGATGTTTCGTCTGCGATATTTGGACAGAACGTGCTGTGATTGTGCCTGCACGGTATGTGCTGCATTAAACTTTGTGAATGCAGACGAGAGGAGGCAAACATTCCTTTTGTGCAAGCAGAATACTCACTTGCTTGCTGAGCTACAACATGACTGTCCCCGTCTGCTGGGTTCACCTGGGAGTACAAAATGAAATGCTCTTGTTGTCAAAGTCTCAGCTACCGCGCATAGAGAGAAACTGAAGCTGACTTTTTTTGGGATCCAGAGTTGTGTTTGGGAGAGAGATGGGCTGTAGGCCAGAGAAATGCAGCCAGAGTTTTTGTGTAATGCTGTAAGTCCCTCTGTGAACAGCAGTGTGAATCAGTCTGCTCAGCCATGTAAGGTGCTGTTTGTGCAGAGCAGTGTAGCCAATCATACTGCGATGTAAAGCAATGAATCTGAAATGATTACTATGTTACAGAAACATCTGAGATCAGCTTGATTAACGTTGCTTTACTACTTACTTGTGTCTTTGAAAAGCCAAACAACATTTCCCTTAAATGATTCTTTTTTATCTAAAACTTGTTCCTCCCTCTCTGCAGTCCAATGGGCACATCTCCCTCAGTGGGAGTGACCACTACCAGGAAAGGCTTTCCCGGATAGAGACTGATAAGGAGTCCTTGGTTCTTCAGGTAACCCATCCATCAATGCTTAGATAACCTGACACGTCCTACAAAATGTGTGAAATATTTGAATGGTAGATAGAAATGAAATCTGTCTAACATGTAAAAAACGGACTTCTTGTTTTTTACGCAGGTGAGCGTGCTTACAGACCAGGTGGAAGCTCAGGGAGAGAAGATCCGAGACCTGGACTTGTGTCTGGACGAGCACAGGGAGAAACTCAATGCCACAGAGGAGATGCTGCAACAGGTGTGTGTGTGTGTGTGTGTGTGTGTGTGTGTGTGTGTGTGTGTGTGTGTGTGTGTGTGTGTGTGTGTGTGTGTGTGTGTGTGTGTGTGTGTGTGTGTGTGTGTGTGTGTGTGTGTGTGTGTGTGTGTGTGTGTGTGTGTGTGTGTGTGTGTGTGTGTGTGTGTGTGTGTGTGTGTGTGTGTGTGTGTGTGTGTGTGTGTGTGTGTGTGTGTGTGTGTGTGTGTGTGTGTGTGTGTGTGTGTGTGTGTGTGTGTGTGTGTGTGTGTGTGTGTGTGTGTGTGTGTGTGTGTGTGTGTGTGTGTGTGTGTGTGTGTGTGTGTTTCGGTGACCCATGGGTGAGACGCGCCTGCCTTCCCCTATATAACATCAGCATGTTTCTTCATTTGTCTTTGCAGGAGCTCCTGTGCAGGACGGCGCTGGAGACCCAGAAGCTAGAGCTGATCTCTGAAGTGTCCAACCTGAAGCTGACCCTGAACAACATGGAGAAGGACGGGCTTGACTTCGACAGATTTAGGGACAGTGAGGTATGCAAAGCTAATTTTTAAGACAGGGATCCTCTTTGTCCTTTCTCTCTCACCTCATTATATACACACACTTGGCCACACACACACTTGCCCACACACACCCCTTATTCATGTTGTCTGACACCTGTGTGGGAGAGGGACTGTCGGCCTGAAAGCAGCTGTTCTAGCACCTCAGGATGATGTCAACATTTAAAAATGTATTGATGGAGAAAAGGCCTTCTTTATAGTGCTGATTGGATTTTGACTTAATGGGATTGTACTTCCCCCCAGATCAAAGTCTTTAACAAACATTAAGATGTCAGTCAGTTGTTTACTAGAGCCGGGGAGATTGCTGTTCCCAGATGAACCGTGCAGAATACTTGGAAAGATTTCAAACACGTCATGTTATTGTTGGAGCTACGCGGTCGTCTCTTCCACCCCACTGGAACAAAAAAGCTGCTGTCCATTTTCCGCCTCAGAGCTCAGAAATCACTTCTCTTCTTCTTTCAGCTTCCACTTGTGTTTTCACTGCTGCTGCTTTACAGTTTCTAATCTCCTAGGAGTTTAGTTTCCTCTGATATGTATGAAGAGGTTTTATAGCTAGTGTTTGTGCTGCACTTAAAAACAAGTTAGAGCTTCCATAATTTAAAAAAACATCCTCAGCAGCCATGTGAAAAAAGTATTTAAAAAATGACTTCTGTTGCTTTTCTTTACTTCCACTCTGTGATATTAAGTCTTGTTTCCTTTCAGGATTTGATTCTTGAAATGAATGAACTTCGGTACAGACTGACAGAGATGGAGAGTGAAAAACTACAGTATGAAAAGAAACTCAAATCCACAAAGGTGAGTTAGATTTTTTTAGATCAAGTTCTTTATAATTAAAACTTCTCATGACTAACATCTTTACCTGTGTTTGCTTTTTGTATGCGTCTGAAAGAATGGTCTCCTATATTCAAAGTAAAGCTTAGATCGAGCCCCACAAATCCAGCTCGATTGGTACCTGTGCACGTTCTCTCCGAGCCCGGCCCGGCCCGTCTCATGAACTGTATTTATGGCCCCGAGCCCGACTAAAACCTGACTTATTGTTTTGAGTTGTTTGAACGACAGAAATCTGTTCATATGAAATCTTAATGAGCCCTACACAGAATAATTTATTATAAAACACAATGTAATTATTAGGCTCCATTAAAAACACAGATTATAACACTTAAAGTCTTAATCTGTGATGTTTCACACTTAAATATAAATCAAGTATATCCTCTGAAAATAACTCTGTGAGTCATGACTGTCTACAATGGGTGTAACACCCGAGTCCCACTGTCTGTGATGTTTTCAGAGTTTTCAGAGTCCTATCTTCACTTTGTTTACATCGCCCGGACGGCCGGCTGACTCCTCCCCTCGTGTATAAAAGTTGTTTAATTGAGGGACTAGAGAAAAGAAGAATAACATACTGTACTCACTGCTTAACTGTGTTTCTAGATCACGCTCATTTCAGGTAAATTTACATGCAGTGTGAAGATACCAGCATAATAAAGATCGCTAGCATTAGCATGCTAACACAACAATGCAGCGCCAGTTGTTTTGGTTTCATGCTGGTGCTCAAGGGCGACATCTGCTGGATCAAAACATCACATAGAAAGAGTTTAAGGAAACACATTTTTTAAAATAACAGTCTGCTCACATTCCGGCTGTATGGCGTTTTCTAAACACAGGCTCTCAGTGTGAGTGTTTCTGTACACTAAGATGTGGATCCCTGTCGTTGCGCCTGCTCCCGAGTCGAACATATCTGCCCCCCATCTTGCTTTCCGAGCCTGCTTCCCGTCTTCTGCCTCTTTTTTTGCTTATATTGATTTGCTTCCCTCTTGCCAAACCTGCTGCCTCACAGACCACGTCCCCTGTCAGCTGCTACACGGCTCCATTTCCCTGTGTTGAACTTTTGTGTGAGCGTGTCTGTGGGCAGAGAATCTAACCTGTCATCCAAACACACTCGTTTCTATTTGCTGTCAAAATAGTTAAGGAAATGTATTCATTGGTAATTATTTAATGGGTGTTTTTTTTCTTATCTCTGTTAAAAGTTAAGAAATTCTTTGCCATTTCTACCCCTGAGCATAAAGCTATGGAAGTGATCAGTGAGTAATTCAAATGATAAAGCTAATTTGAAAATTAAAATCCATTAACAGAAATGCTTTTTAATTTTCAGAATATGGGTGGATTATTTGACTCAAAAATAAAATTATGACTAATTTGAATTTTAGTTTTCAGCATCAAAAAATGCACATTCTTGGACTAAATTAAAATGAAGAAAATTACATTATTATTATTATTATTATTATTATTAAATTACGTTTGATTTTTCATTTTCAAAAAATGCCCCGCTAAATTTGTATCATAATTCAAATGAAAAAGTTAATTTTAAAATGAAAATGCAGTGACAGAAACACGTTTTAATTTTCATTCTTTGACCTATATTTAAAATGAATATTCAGTCATCCAGTTTGCATTATACCTTTACTCTCTATGTAAGCATATTGTATGACATCATTCAAATGAAAACAAAAAGGTCTTTGGCTTTTCTTAAATTATTATTTTTTTCTTAAACTTTTCTAAATGATAATTTTATTTTTGAGTCAAATAATAATACACCCATATTCTGAAAATTAAAAAGCATTTCTGTTAATGGATTTTAATTTTCAAATTAGCTTCATCATTTGAATTCTGATCACTAATCGCTTCCATATAAAGCCGTTCACTTTTCCAGCGTCTGTCTTTGCTTTGTAATTGAAGTATCTTTGAATCAGATGATCCACCTCATTGAATGCTGTGCTTCTCTTTATCTGTCAATCTTTGCGTCTCTATTTTTCTCTCTCTCTTCCTTGGTTTTTTTTTTTCTTCTTCACTGCTAGTCGCTTATGGCCAAGCTTTCTAGCCTGAAAATCAAAATGGGCCAGTTGCAGTATGAGAAACAGAAGAAGGAGCACAAACTCCTGTCTATAAAGGTTGGCTTTCCTTTAGGATGGTTGTGTTGCTTGCTGTATGATTATGGTTTTTGACCTCACCCTTTGGCTCCTCTTCTACTTTTATTTTGGTGTTGAACTTCCTCAAATCTGGTTTTTCAAAACGTTGTTGTTGTTGTTGTCTTTTCCTAATTCACTATTTGAGTGACTCTTCTGTCTTGAACATTTTATTATATAATTATTTATTATTATTCTAATGACGTAATTGACTGAATTGTGTAAGTCAAATGTAAAATCTCAAGTGTAATCAGAAATACCACTTCCTTAAGTGTGCACCACTTGTTCTAACCACTGGTATGCTATAATTTGTTCAGTTTCTTTTTGCCAAGAGTTGGCAGTTTTCTCTTTTTTTTCTGTTCTGTGTTTTCCCTCCTTGCACTGATTTACTCTTCACGATGTGATCTTCAATTAAACCTCTTTCATTTTTGAAACCTTTTGCTTGAATCCCATTCTGTTCACTTAAAGCATTACATGTATGTGTTATTCCCTCAGCCCTGTGCTCACACATGTATTACCCTTCAGAGCAGGTGCGTGCCACGTCAGCATCTGTGAACCCTTTTGTTGATGTGGTTTTTGTTTGAAGTGTGGAGGAGGAGGAGGAGGAGGAGGAGGAGGAGGAGGAGGAGGTGTCTGTGTGGAGGAATGATCCTCACTGTTGTCCTCTGTTTGACAGGAGGAGCTCACCATACTGAGGAGGCAGCTGGAGGGCAGAGATGGAGAGATGAGGCGACTACAGGATGAGACGGGCTTTAAAGTCGGCGCCTCGAGCAATGCAGAGCTCACAGAGAGAGGTGGGTGAGAGAGACTGTTGAATCACGAGCCGAACGTGCATAATGTTCAGAATCAGGTTTTAATACGGCTGGGCGATGTGGACCAAAACTCATATCTCGATATTCTTTCACTGAATGGCGATACCCGATGTGTCTTTTATTAACAGTCAGTTGCATAAGTTCAACATGTACATGAAAACAAACTACCTGTTTGTGAAATTAATACATTTTCTGCATAACAAAATAAACACAGTTGTGTGTTTTGTTATCCGTTTAGTTTGTTGAGTTTGGCTCAGAGAGAGAGAGGGAGAGAGAGAGAGGGGGGAGAGAGAGGGGGGGAGAGAGGGGGGAGAGAGAGGGGGGGAGAGAGAGGGGGGGAGAGAGAGAGGGGGGAGAGAGAGGGGGGGAGAAAGGGGGAGAAAGGGAGAGAGAGAGAACGTTATTTTAATGCAACATGAACTACGTTGATATTATCGATATTGTCCTACCCTGTATCTGGATTGAAAATATATCGATATATCTTAAAAACTCGATATATCGCCCAGCCTTAGGTTTTTAACTTTGTTCAATGACTGAGTGGTGATATCTGTGAACAATGTGAAAAGTACCATGCTTAGTTCTCCACAAGTAATCATCTGTAAACCATGATTTATTTTCATAATTCTTTGTCCTGTTTAGTCTCTCATCCAGACGAAACTCTTAGAAAGAGGCTGAAAGAGAAACGTAAGGGGGGTTTTAATGCTTGTGTTTTTTTATTATTATTGCACTTTGTCACTGCACCCATCTCAAACCCTTTTTTTTCGCATGAACGAGCATGAGCCATGTGAACTCTGCTTGTCCATTATATAACCCATTGGAGTGTTAATACATGACTGCGGCGCACCACATCAACCAACCTGTGAAACGTTTTGTCTAATTATAGCACTTCTTCAAACTAAACAAAGATCACCCAAAAGCTGAGTAACTGTGATCTTAATGTCCCCAACAGGAATGTCTGCTTTGTGTTTCCAACAGGAATGAGCAATGAATTGTGTTTTTGTTGTTGTTGTCATAACAACTCAGGCTGCACGCTCATCCTCCTGCCTCATGTCATCCATCAATAAACATCTCTAACCCTCAAACTCCTCTAACCCCTCCCAACATCCAGTGTGTGCTCTGCTAACCTGTAATCTTCCTGTCATGTTCTGTGTTGTGAGATGGCATCACTTTTCTATCCACATAAGTTCATTTCCTGTATTGTATTCAGTTCTCAGACTTTCACATTATGACTCGAGATCATAGAAGTCTTTGACTTTTCTTTATCCGTTTTAATATGTGAGTAAGATATCACACATCTCATATATATTTAAATCAGATTCTACATCCACTAAGTTAAGGGATGGCTGCTCACTGAGTCTTGTTGCTGAATGCATTTTGAAAAGTGAAAAAAAAAAGGGTCAAACAGCTGCTCACACAGTAGTAGGAGTAATCATTTATTTCAGTCACAAGAAAAAACAAAAACATGTTGGCTGTAAAGGTGTAGGCTGAAGCTTTATCTTCTTACACCTACCCTCGTTACAAATCTCATTATTTAAGACACGACTAGTTTGGTTACAAAAAAAACAAAACACATCAGAACAACATTTTTTCCAAGAATTTATTTCAAAACAAAACAAATGAAACAAACAAAAAACGAAAAACAGAAGTCACACTCTCAAAAAATAATCAAACCGACCTTTTATATTTGTTAAACACCATTTTTTTTAAACAAAAATGTAAATCTGCAGAGTGAATTGATGTACTGATTTTAAGGACTCTTTAAAAAAAATGATATTGTGGCCATGATGTTACTCAGTCAGTAATGTAGCAGCCAAAGTGTTATATCAATCAGTCCCATCTTTGTCCCTAATCATTTCTTTCCTCACTAGATGTGGAAGTGCAGAGAATGAAGAAGGCAGTGGAATCCCTGATGGCAGCCAACGAAGAAAAGGTAAATTCAGTGAGCTTTGATTTGTTTGTGTCAAACCAACTTACTGACTCGTGTGCTGAGCTCCTCCTGTCGCTCTAATCGTCTTCTCCTTCACAGGATCGTAAGATTGAGGAACTGAAACAGTCACTGCTGCGTTATAAGAAAGTTCAGGACATGGTGATGTCAGTGCAGGTGAAGAAAGGTAACTCCTCTCTCTGAGTATATTATTCATAAAAAGGTTAGAGCCAGGTACTGGACTAATTAAAGTTGGTCACGCTCAGAGACTATAAAGATTTTCATGGCTCGTCCCATTTATCTTTAATTGTGTATAATTAAAACCATTGTTTTTGAAATGGGGGTCTTTTACACCTTGTTGGACCTACAGGGGATACTTTGGGATTTCTTACAATAATCAAACTAATGTAAGTTTAATTAAAGGTTTAAATGTATTTTTATGACCACATTTTATTGAGTTCCCCCTGCAAATGTATGCTTGATTTTTTTCCCATTAAACTGTTGTTGTTTTGTAAACCAAACCAGCAGCACTGTGCTGTATGTTACCTTGTTGTTATCGATAAAGAACCATGGATTTGCATTCCTTAAATCAATTCTGTCCAATAACATCTGTCCTCTTATGAAGTTTATGACAATCAATGCATAATTTAAGCAGCATTTCTCGATATTTTACATGTATAATTATAGGTTTGTTTTTAATTACATGTTATTTATTGTCTACTCTAGAGCGAACCAAAGATACCGAGCTCTTGGAAAGTCAAGGGGACGGAGTCATCACATTCATGTCAACCAACTCTGTGTGTGTGGAGTCCGAACAGTCTGCAGTGACAGATGTTGAACAACTGAAAAGGATGAGTCCTGATGAGGTGTGTGGAACAATTTATGATGTTTCATTCAAAATTCATCTCACCATTGCTAGTTAGGGGACTTAATGTAAACGTTAATACTAAGAGTATACAGCTTAAGCATTTTACTGTATTCAAAATCAGTGTCAAAAGCAATGTGAATGATTAAAAGTGTAAATAAGTAAATGATACTTCTCATACCTCACATAATCGTTGTGATAGAGTTGCTTTCTATTTGTTTGCAATACAGGATCTCATGTTAATTGTCATGACATGATAATAAGCTTCTTACATCTCATGAATCTCTAAAGTGCCTGAAGTGTACTCGCTTTAAAACACTAATAATGTCAATTCCTTTCAATCTTTCCAGTACATCAGTGTCAAAAGGATGAAAGTGTTGCTGAAATCAGATTAATTAAAAAAACACCTCGTGTCAGTCCTCAAAGAAAGTGTGAAGATTCACACCGTTGTGTTCTCATAGCCTCGGGAGAAAACACAAGAACACATTATTTCATTTTTAAATAAAGATTTCTTTGCCTGTCTTTTCTTTCTGCTTAGTTGGAGATCCTCAACGGGATGAGCGAGGAGCCTTCACCCACACCAAGCCCTTCAGATGCAGAACGAGTATCAGAGTCTGCCCCAGCTGATTTAGAAAGGTGAAACATGAAACACACACATTTCTTTCTTTCTTTTTTTAAAGGTTTATTTTTGGGACTTTTTGTGCCTTTAATGCAGAGAGAGGACAGTGGATAGAGTCTGAAACCAGAGAGAGAGAGGACAGTGGATAGAGTCTGAAACCAGAGAGAGAGAGGACAGTGGATAGAGTCTGAAACCAGAGAGAGAGAGGACAGTGGATAGAGTCTGAAACCAGAGAGAGAGAGGACAGTGGATAGAGTCTGAAACCAGAGAGAGAGAGAGAGGACAGTGGATAGAGTCTGAAACCAGAGAGAGAGAGGACAGTGGATAGAGTCAGAAACCAGAGAGAGAGAGGACAGTGGATAGAGTCAGAAACCAGAGAGAGAGAGGACAGTGGATAGAGTCAGAAACCAGAGAGAGAGAGAGGACAGTGGATAGAGTCTGAAACCAGAGAGAGAGAGGACAGTGGATAGAGTCTGAAACCAGAGAGAGAGAGGACAGTGGATAGAGTCAGAAACCAGAGAGAGAGAGGACAGTGGATAGAGTCTGAAACCAGAGAGAGAGAGGACAGTGGATAGAGTCTGAAACCAGAGAGAGAGAGGACAGTGGATAGAGTCAGAAACCAGAGAGAGAGAGAGGACAGTGGATAGAGTCTGAAACCAGAGAGAGAGAGGACAGTGGATAGAGTCTGAAACCAGAGAGAGAGAGGACAGTGGATAGAGTCAGAAACCAGAGAGAGAGAGACAGTGGATAGAGTCAGAAACCAGAGAGAGAGAGGACAGTGGATAGAGTCAGAAACCAGAGAGAGAGAGACAGTGGATAGAGTCTGAAACCAGAGAGAGAGAGGACAGTGGATAGAGTCAGAAACCAGAGAGAGAGAGGACAGTGGATAGAGTCAGAAACCAGAGAGAGAGAGGACAGTGGATAGAGTCAGAAACCAGAGAGAGAGAGGACAGTGGATAGAGTCAGAAACCAGAGAGAGAGAGGACAGTGGATAGAGTCTGAAACCAGAGAGAGAGAGAGGACAGTGGATAGAGTCTGAAACCAGAGAGAGAGAGGACAGTGGATAGAGTCAGAAACCAGAGAGAGAGAGAGGACAGTGGATAGAGTCTGAAACCAGAGAGAGAGAGGACAGTGGATAGAGTCAGAAACCAGAGAGAGAGAGGACAGTGGATAGAGTCAGAAACCAGAGAGAGAGAGAGGACAGTGGATAGAGTCAGAAACCAGAGAGAGAGAGAGGACAGTGGATAGAGTCTGAAACCAGAGAGAGAGAGGACAGTGGATAGAGTCAGAAACCAGAGAGAGAGAGGACAGTGGATAGAGTCTGAAACCAGAGAGAGAGAGGACAGTGGATAGAGTCAGAAACCAGAGAGAGAGAGGACAGTGGATAGAGTCTGAAACCAGAGAGAGAGAGAGGACAGTGGATAGAGTCAGAAACCAGAGAGAGAGAGAGGACAGTGGATAGAGTCAGAAACCAGAGAGAGAGAGGACAGTGGATAGAGTCTGAAACCAGAGAGAGAGAGGACAGTGGATAGAGTCAGAAACCAGAGAGAGAGAGGACAGTGGATAGAGTCTGAAACCAGAGAGAGAGAGAGGACAGTGGATAGAGTCAGAAACCAGAGAGAGAGGACAGTGGATAGAGTCGAAACCAGAGAGAGAGAGGACAGTGGATAGAGTCAGAAACCAGAGAGAGAGAGGACAGTGGATAGAGTCAGAAACCAGAGAGAGAGAGGACAGTGGATAGAGTCAGAAACCAGAGAGAGAGAGACAGTGGATAGAGTCAGAAACCAGAGAGAGAGGACAGTGGATAGAGTCTGAAACCAGAGAGAGAGAGGACAGTGGATAGAGTCAGAAACCAGAGAGAGAGAGGACAGTGGATAGAGTCAGAAACCAGAGAGAGAGAGGACAGTGGATAGAGTCAGAAACCAGAGAGAGAGAGAGGACAGTGGATAGAGTCTGAAACCAGAGAGAGAGAGAGGACAGTGGATAGAGTCAGAAACCAGAGAGAGAGAGAGGACAGTGGATAGAGTCAGAAACCAGAGAGAGAGAGGACAGTGGATAGAGTCTGAAACCAGAGAGAGAGAGGACAGTGGATAGAGTCTGAAACCAGAGAGAGAGAGGACAGTGGATAGAGTCAGAAACCAGAGAGAGAGAGGACAGTGGATAGAGTCTGAAACCAGAGAGAGAGAGGACAGTGGATAGAGTCTGAAACCAGAGAGAGAGAGAGGACAGTGGATAGAGTCAGAAACCAGAGAGAGAGAGGACAGTGGATAGAGTCAGAAACCAGAGAGAGAGAGAGGACAGTGGATAGAGTCAGAAACCAGAGAGAGAGAGGACAGTGGATAGAGTCTGAAACCAGAGAGAGAGAGAGGACAGTGGATAGAGTCTGAAACCAGAGAGAGAGAGGACAGTGGATAGAGTCAGAAACCAGAGAGAGAGAGGACAGTGGATAGAGTCTGAAACCAGAGAGAGAGAGGACAGTGGATAGAGTCTGAAACCAGAGAGAGAGAGGACAGTGGATAGAGTCTGAAACCAGAGAGAGAGAGGACAGTGGATAGAGTCAGAAACCAGAGAGAGAGAGAGAGACAGTGGATAGAGTCTGAAACCAGAGAGAGAGAGGACAGTGGATAGAGTCTGAAACCAGAGAGAGAGAGGACAGTGGATAGAGTCTGAAACCAGAGAGAGAGAGGACAGTGGATAGAGTCTGAAACCAGAGAGAGAGAGAGGACAGTGGATAGAGTCAGAAACCAGAGAGAGAGAGGACAGTGGATAGAGTCTGAAACCAGAGAGAGAGAGGACAGTGGATAGAGTCTGAAACCAGAGAGAGAGAGGACAGTGGATAGAGTCTGAAACCAGAGAGAGAGAGGACAGTGGATAGAGTCTGAAACCAGAGAGAGAGAGGACAGTGGATAGAGTCAGAAACCAGAGAGAGAGAGGACAGTGGATAGAGTCTGAAACCAGAGAGAGAGAGAGGACAGTGGATAGAGTCAGAAACCAGAGAGAGAGAGAGGACAGTGGATAGAGTCAGAAACCAGAGAGAGAGAGGACAGTGGATAGAGTCTGAAACCAGAGAGAGAGAGGACAGTGGATAGAGTCTGAAACCAGAGAGAGAGAGGACAGTGGATAGAGTCAGAAACCAGAGAGAGAGAGAGGACAGTGGATAGAGTCAGAAACCAGAGAGAGAGAGGACAGTGGATAGAGTCAGAAACCAGAGAGAGAGAGGACAGTGGATAGAGTCAGAAACCAGAGAGAGAGAGGACAGTGGATAGAGTCAGAAACCAGAGAGAGAGAGGACAGTGGATAGAGTCTGAAACCAGAGAGAGAGAGGACAGTGGATAGAGTCTGAAACCAGAGAGAGAGAGGACAGTGGATAGAGTCAGAAACCAGAGAGAGAGAGGACAGTGGATAGAGTCTGAAACCAGAGAGAGAGAGGACAGTGGATAGAGTCAGAAACCAGAGAGAGAGAGGACAGTGGATAGAGTCTGAAACCAGAGAGAGAGAGGACAGTGGATAGAGTCTGAAACCAGAGAGAGAGAGGACAGTGGATAGAGTCAGAAACCAGAGAGAGAGAGGACAGTGGATAGAGTCAGAAACCAGAGAGAGAGAGGACAGTGGATAGAGTCTGAAACCAGAGAGAGAGAGGACAGTGGATAGAGTCAGAAACCAGAGAGAGAGAGGACAGTGGATAGAGTCTGAAACCAGAGAGAGAGAGGACAGTGGATAGAGTCAGAAACCAGAGAGAGAGAGGACAGTGGATAGAGTCTGAAACCAGAGAGAGAGAGGACAGTGGATAGAGTCAGAAACCAGAGAGAGAGAGGACAGTGGATAGAGTCAGAAACCAGAGAGAGAGAGAGGACAGTGGATAGAGTCTGAAACCAGAGAGAGAGAGGACAGTGGATAGAGTCAGAAACCAGAGAGAGAGAGGACAGTGGATAGAGTCTGAAACCAGAGAGAGAGAGAGGACAGTGGATAGAGTCTGAAACCAGAGAGAGAGAGGACAGTGGATAGAGTCTGAAACCAGAGAGAGAGAGGACAGTGGATAGAGTCTGAAACCAGAGAGAGAGAGGACAGTGGATAGAGTCAGAAACCAGAGAGAGAGAGGACAGTGGATAGAGTCTGAAACCAGAGAGAGAGAGGACAGTGGATAGAGTCTGAAACCAGAGAGAGAGAGGACAGTGGATAGAGTCTGAAACCAGAGAGAGAGAGGACAGTGGATAGAGTCAGAAACCAGAGAGAGAGAGGACAGTGGATAGAGTCTGAAACCAGAGAGAGAGAGAGGACAGTGGATAGAGTCTGAAACCAGAGAGAGAGAGGACAGTGGATAGAGTCTGAAACCAGAGAGAGAGAGAGGACAGTGGATAGAGTCTGAAACCAGAGAGAGAGAGGACAGTGGATAGAGTCTGAAACCAGAGAGAGAGAGGACAGTGGATAGAGTCTGAAACCAGAGAGAGAGAGGACAGTGGATAGAGTCAGAAACCAGAGAGAGAGAGGACAGTGGATAGAGTCAGAAACCAGAGAGAGAGAGGACAGTGGATAGAGTCAGAAACCAGAGAGAGAGAGGACAGTGGATAGAGTCTGAAACCAGAGAGAGAGAGGACAGTGGATAGAGTCTGAAACCAGAGAGAGAGAGGACAGTGGATAGAGTCTGAAACCAGAGAGAGAGAGGACAGTGGATAGAGTCTGAAACCAGAGAGAGAGAGGACAGTGGATAGAGTCAGAAACCAGAGAGAGAGAGGACAGTGGATAGAGTCTGAAACCAGAGAGAGAGAGAGGACAGTGGATAGAGTCAGAAACCAGAGAGAGAGAGGACAGTGGATAGAGTCTGAAACCAGAGAGAGAGAGGACAGTGGATAGAGTCTGAAACCAGAGAGAGAGAGGACAGTGGATAGAGTCTGAAACCAGAGAGAGAGAGGACAGTGGATAGAGTCTGAAACCAGAGAGAGAGAGAGGACAGTGGATAGAGTCTGAAACCAGAGAGAGAGAGGACAGTGGATAGAGTCAGAAACCAGAGAGAGAGAGGACAGTG